TATCATGTGATTTATTTTATATATTTTTATTGGTTGATAAAATATTTGGCAATTGGACTAAGTCCAATTGTCCAATTATTTAATTGGATTAATTGAACTATATCCAATTGTCCAATTGTCCAATTAGTCCAATTGTTCAATTAGTCCAATTGACAACACTGTCCACAACGGTTCCGGTTGTGAGTACCCACTTATTGGCATCATTCATTTTACCGTAAGATTTTTTATATTTTTCGTAATCATATACAGACAACTCTTGAGAGTTGTCATCATCATTACATTCCAGCGTATGTGTTCCGACCTTGGAACATCTTTTTGTGGCCTTAGTTTCCTTCATCTAAATCGCAAGATCATGTCAGTAAATTATATACTACCCAGAAGAAATCGTTAATCTGTATCTTCTATACTATAATCATAATCCAATGACCTAATGGTAATATTGAACCGTCCTTCATTATCGCGCACACCCTCACATAATCGTTTAGAACTATCTTGCTTAATCTTTTTGTCCCAAAGTATCGAAATCCATTGTTTTGCTGATCCTTATTATTCGATAAAAAATGCACGCTATACTTACGTGCTTCAAATCATGTTTATCTAAAACATCTGCTTTCTGCAGATTTGACGCTATTTGCTCAGAGGAACTTTGAAAAAAAACACTGATCTCATCCTACAGAAATAAATTTTGTGAACAAATCCTTATCATCACAGGGATGCATTCCATACTGACCTTCTCAGATTTAACTTGTTCCTTAGATTCTTTATCCTATGGATATCAAAGTAGTCATTAAAAACAAGCTCGCGTAGATTTCAAGGCAACATTTATATCAAAAGACTTTATGTCCTAACCTTTTTCGAAATAGATAACTGCTTTTTCCGCTTTGGTTCACGGACAAGCATGAAATCGTCGTCGGACTAAATACAAAAAGAAGGAGTTAGTTTTTATCAGACAGCCACGATTCTCAACCTCTATATAAATAAATTGCATACTTCTTCATGATCTCTTTTTGGTACACGATTTGTTACTGGCTATATTTCCAACACCATTTAATACAGGCCCATTTAAGTTCCCATTAATTGATTGGTGAATGTTGACCTGTCTCCGTGAGCGCTTCTTCTCCCAATCATTTGATTTCTAACGGTCAGGACCCTAGCATAAAAATTCTGGAAATTAGTAACAATCCTTGACTAACATTTTCAATCTCACCAGAACATCAGCCTGCCTAGAAAGCCAACTGTGGTCCCAGTGAGTCCAGTACTGGATCGGCTAGAAACCTTTTGCATCAGATAACCTAGAAAATCATCTGTGCGCCAGTACTGGTTTCGTGGCTCGGCTAAAAACCTTGAATGACCGGCAACCTAGAAAGCCTCCGTTCACGCCACTTTTTCATTGATTCAATAAAAATTAAATTTTCATTTGCCTTTTTAAAGTTGAGAAGCAATTGTGCTCTTTCACCCCTTTCTCCTTGTTGATTGTTAGCGATTTTCTCGAGACCTTTTGTATATCTGTCTACCTTTGCATCAATCGGTTCTGTATCGCACTCGTTCAGAAAGTCAACAATGCTCGTGAATACCGGACATGGCTAATATGCGTATTAATAATTTATTTTTAAGAAAGACTTGCACAGAATGCACGTATTTGTCAGAGGAATTTTTATGGCGTAACTTTCAACGTCACATGATTTTATTGCGTTACATGTGATATCCCGTAATTAATAATTTCATGGAAAATATTAAAGAAGCAAATGAAATGTTTGATACTATCAAAGAGGGAGGGAGTACGCGGATCCTAGGCCATTTAATGCGAGTCCCAGTTATAATTAAGGGAGTATTAGCAACCGAGTTAAAAAAATAATACAGTATTTCCAATTCACACTTACCGATATACTTA